TGTGGAGAAAGGCAGCTCGGCCAGTGAGGGCCGAGATGGGAAAGTCTTGTATTAGAGGGAAGAGGGAAGGGCAGAGACCACTCCAGGCCGAGCAGCCGAAGAGTAGGGCGTCACCACACCTATCCGTCACGCAATTCAGATCACTCATCGAATCTCCGAAGAAACCAAGCAGAAACTCCCTGTTCCTCCGCGATCTACCAACTGCAATCTCCGTAGATCCATGTCCCATACTCAACCACATTACTATGCTACGAGTATATCTAACATGGGGTATTAGACACATTTCCCCCCCCACCCGGCACAACCGTAGTTTAGTTTACCCCACCGGCTGTGGTCCCCACCGGCCGTGGTACCACCTGAACGGAACCGGTGGGTCTAACGATGGGTCATACGGTAGCCCTATAGCGAAGCAGCACATTTGATCATGTCCTGTGTCGACTGAAGTCTTGTGTATTAACATACCGCTGGGGAGGGGTAAGCAAGGCTTTTGCACCACCAGTGAGAAGGCAGAGTTCGGTTTCTACTGTAAAGCTGTGGGTAGGAATGCTTTTTATGTGCTGGTCGCCTCACCTGCTGCCCGCTGCTGTGTGCTGTACGTGCACGTTGCAGACGCTCGTACCGGTGTTTGTGTGTCGACGGAAGCCTTGAATGGCTACATACAGCAGTGGGATCGTGGAGCTGAAGGAAGTCTGCCTCAAGAAGAGAAGAAGGCAGCGTTCGGTGGGTGCGTGTAAAACTGTGAGCAGGAATACTTGATGTGCTGGTCGCCTCACCTGCTGCCCGCTGCTATGCGCTGTACGCGCATGTTTCACACACTTCTACCGGTGTTCGTCAGTCGATTGGTGCCTTGTGGGCGGAGATACAGACGGGGGGGGATTTAGACACTAATCCCCCCCCAGGGGGCAGGTTGGGACAACAGATATGTTTTGCCCATCAGCCATGGCTGCACCAAACCTGCACCGTTTCCGCTGTACGAGGTATCTCGCGATAGCCCTACATCACAGCAACACAGCCGTGCGTGTCCTGGCTCGATTGGTGCCTCGTGGGCGGAGATACAGACGGGGGGGGATTTAGACACTAACCCCCCCCCGGGGGGCAGGTTGGGACAACAGATAAATAGATACNGTGCCTCGTGGGCGGAGATACAGACGGGGGGGGATTTAGACACGCCGTTATACATTCCGACAGGTGTCCTCCACAATTGAGCTCAGTCTCCCGAAATCCAAAGTGCTTTTCCCCGAAGGTCTTTGCACGTCCTCTTTGACAAACGACGAACAGCAACAATTGACGAAAATTGGTCTGTCAGTTGCTGAAGGTGGCATCCCAGTTGTCGGGATCCCAGTAGGAACAGAAGAGTTCCAGAGGAATTTCGTTTCCAAAATCGCCCGTGGTGACCCGGCGGAATTGATACTCCGCCTAGCAACGATTGACGACCCCCAAGTCAGCTATCAACTGCTGTGTTCATCTGGTGTGCCACGTTTGTTCCATCTGCTGAGGACGATTGCACCGTCTATCACCAACTCTGCCGCAAAAATACATGACAACATGATGATGTGGGCAATGAGTAAGATCGTCCTTGGCAAGATGGCCGACAGCATGAGAATACCAACGGTCAAAGAGGTACGCGCAGACCCGACGAAGAGCGAGGAGGTAGATTTCTTCAAAGGGACAGCTCGAGCGCAGGTGCACCTACCCATGCGAGAAGGAGGACTAGGAATCACGAGCAATGTTCTCATTCGAGAATCGGCTTTTGTGGCAGGGCAAGCGCTGGTGTTCTCCAAGTCAGTGCAAGCATCGACAGGATACACAGTTGAGCAATGTCTACCCCGGCTTGCCCAGCTACCGACAGGATTGGCTCTGATTGACTCGCTGAAGAAGCTAGAGGAAATCATCACCAAAGACAAGCTTGAAAAAGCTGTTGGGCAGTCATGGGCTAAACTTGCCACAAGTGATGAGTTAACCCCCGCCCTCAAAGGAGTTTACTTGTTGGAAGCAGGGAAGGCGGGAAAACCCCGTGAAGATGGAAACCCTGACGTAGAACATCAACCACCGTCTACCTTCAGCCGAAATGAATTTGGTCAACACTACCAAGTCTTTGGAGCCCAAGCTCTCCTTTCGAAACCTCTTCATGCAGCAGTGCGCCACATGGTGGAGACAGACTTGCAGAAAGTAGTAGGCGAGGAAACGCCAAAGAAGAGGGCGTTGATCCGCTTGGAGGAAGCGAAAGGCAAGGGAGTTTTGTCGTGGTTGACAACGCAAGGGTTGTCAGCAGATGAAAGAATGCTGCCTGATCTATATCGAGAGTCAATCGGTCGTGTACTGGGGAGTCACGATCGAGCAGACTGCAACACAGGCAAACTTTGTGGTGCAGGTGCATTGTTACCATGCAAGGACCGCTTGAGCCGAGCCCACTCCCTCGTCTGCACCAAGACCGGCGCCTCAACCTTCCTCCATAACAGGATGGTTCGAGTGGTCCTCAAGACACTGCGCGAGTGCCATATGCCCATCGCCGTTGAGGATTCTTCCCCTTTTACCACAGGCACTGGTAGGGAAAAGGGGCTACAATTGTACACAAGATGGATTTGGTAATCCCCCCAGGATTACACGCAGGAGAGAAGGAAGAGGACCTCTGCACCAAGTCCATTCTGATCGACGTAACAATCGTCAACCCATCAGCAGGTCGAAGCATCGACAAGTCGATCCTTAAGCCAGGATCAGCCCTCGAAGATCGAGCTGCAAGTAAGGCAAATCACTATGCGGGAACTTTCAACCCGTCTAGATCTACCCTCCTTACTGCTGCTTTTTCAACGAATGGTGGTCTTGGCAAAGGCACCAATCGACTCATCGTTGCTATCGCCAACCACTTGGCGCACGAAGCTTTTTGCCGGGAAAATTTTGACGACGAGAGGGCCTTAGTTCGCCTGAAAGCTTTTCATACTAACAGGATTCGGAGACGGTTTACCTTCGAGCTAGCTCGTTTTCTGTCGATGCGAACTCTCGATGTGCTCAAACGTCATGGGCTACTGATCGACCAACTTCCACCAGGGCCAATCGGTTGGGACCTCTGCGACAACGATAGTAGTGAGGGTAATTCTTTTGGGAGTGACGAAGGCGATGGAAAGGGAAAGGAAAGAAAGGAGGACGAAGACGACGACGGAGCACGAAAACATGGAGGAGTGGAAGAGAGCAAAGGGTTTGAGCCAGATGACCTTCCCCACAACAAGAAACGTAGGGCTAGGGAAGAACTGCCCAGAGATTCTTCTTGTCGAAATGAGGATAAAAATGATGGTAGCGAAAACAAGGAGGATACTGGTGAAAGTACTCCTAAACGAACTCGAGGACTAGGTAATAGCCTTGGTAGACGGGTGCAGTTGTCTTCTGTTGCTGCTGTTTCTGTTTTTAATCCGAAGGATAATTTAGCCTCCCCCATGCTGCCCCCTCCGCCCCCCCCGGTGTTTGCCATCGGGGTTGGGTTTTCGTCGCTTGGCAA